AGCATTAATTAATAAGGGGAGCAGTTTTTTGTAATGATCCCTATTCAGGGTGGGTGGCTCTCTGTCCATCTTCTTTCCAAATGTCAACCATAATGTCCAATTTACTTGTTGGTATGATTTGGCCAAATTTTGTTCTTTTATAACATAAAATGTATAGCCTCAGATACTTTTAAAGTCATATTTGTTATTTCTTTTATGACATTGCAGAAACTGTTTCACAGACGACTTGAATGTGGCCTCTAAGATTTGTTCACAACGTTAGTTTTGATGAGTTATCTAAAGTAGTGCTAGACTTTTCTAACTTACGTTAAATGAAATGCCTATCTTCTCTCATCTTCAACAAACAGGACTCAGTCCAGATCTGAGTTCTTGCTCTCACATGACTTCAGCCCAAAACCTATCTCCCTGAAAGAGATGAAGAAGTCCCGTGGACTAAAATTCTTTGGCAAATTAGCCTAGTTTTCCTCTTAAATGGCCATAATTTAATTCTGCGTATGGAAACATTTCTCAAAAAGGTGTGCTGCGCTCTGTGAAGTGTGGAAGCACCTTGCACCAGTGATGTGTAATATATGTGTGCGGTCCAATTTCATTTTCAGAAGTAGGGAAGCACAAATTCTCTCTGGGATTATGTCTTTAATGGCTCATTGTCAGAAAGAAACTTGTCACCATGCCAAAGAGGAAACTGCTGCCAGGTTTAGTTTAGAATTTTATAAAGTGAGTAAGTGAAAAATATATATACATGCATTACAGTCTCACGTTATGAATAATTAAATGAATACGTAATTGTATCCAGTTTTACCCTCAAGCTCAACCAGCAAAGACATCTTCAGCCCACGTGAAAAGGAGACTTCATTTTTTTTTCAAAAATTATGACTGAGCTGCCGAACCTCACTGAATTTATATGCTCATAAGCAAGAATAACAATCCGTCTATAAAATCATACAGTGGGGAGTGCAGCATTATTCAAGAGTTTTGTTTGATGTACATGCTGCCTTCTAAAATTTGAACTTACGCCAAGCACTTGCTTAGCATTGTCTGAAATGTCTTCTTCATCCCTCCTCCTACCTCCCTGATCCCAGGCACCCCCAAACACTACTTTTATTATCCGTATGCAGGACATACTGGAGATGCTCTAACTTTTACAAAGATTGAAGTCTAATACTGACCTCTTTATTGTAGTTACAAATACCTTGCAGTAAGGGTGAGAAGCAGGTATAGACTCAGTACTCTGCAAGTCTCTTTTGGCTAAGTGCTTTTGTTTTGATATATGAAGTATGACAAAGTAACATGAATAATCTTAACACACATCCTGAAATATATATTCAAAGGAATATTGCCTCTTTCCAAGTGGCTCTCTCAGAACTTCTCCTCATCATGTTGTCATTGCAAGGGACATGTTTCAATCTCTTCTTTTAGAACGCAGTTATAAAGTAATAATTGATTGCTTTTCTGTGTGGCTCATCACATTGGCTCTGACCAAATATTTAGCGTTTAAAAGCGCCCCCTTCCATGGCTTAATTTTGTTGCTGGCCGTTCACACCCATTCATCCTCCCACAGCTTGGGCCCCAGTCGTGAAGAACACTGTTGGTCCTAGAAGCCTCTGTGCATTTGCAGATGCCATTCCCTCAGCTTAGAAGATTCTCCTTTTACTACTAAGCTCTAGATCACCTCCTTCCAAAAAGTCTTCCTTTACTGACCCCACCTCCCACTCCTCTCCCACCTTGCGTTTAGTTCCCTTCTATTTAGCTGTCCCTTGGAAGTCCAATATCACTTCGAGCCCCCAAGTTGTTTCACCGTGTTCCTTTGTCCCTCTCCCTGTCTAGTCTGTGAATTCCTTGAAGGCAGACACTGTCTTTATCATCTATGCCCTTAGGGACCGACAGTACTGACTCCCAATACTGTTCAATGAGGGTTTGCTCAGTGATGGTTTGTGAATGTACACAAAGGTTTGGTGAAAGATTTGTGATTGGATACGTGGATGAAGTGAGTAACCTAAGATGACATCTTTGAAAGTAAACTTTCATTTGAGTGAGTCCTAGTCAGGTTCAGTAATTAATAGATTATTCAATAAATGACGTTAGGCAAACTAGTTTGTCAGTTTGGTAAAATCAGATTCCCTACCTCATATCATAAGCAAATATACAAAACTCCTATTGCAGTAAATGTTTGTATTTTTAAAAAGATAAAACTATAAACAACTATTAACTACTTGTGTAATTTTAGGGTGAGGAAGACCCTTTTTTTTTATTTTTAGTTTATTTTTAGAGAGACAGAGTACACAAGAGGAGGAGGGGCAGAGAGAGAGAGGAGAGAGAATCTCAAGCAGGCTCTGCACTACTGGTGCAGAGCTTGACGTGGGGCTTGAACTCACAAACCCAGAGACCATTACCTGAGCTGAAACGGAGTCGGAAGCTTAACTGACTGAGCCACCCAGGTGCCCCAGGAGGGCCTATTTAAACATAGTACCAAAACCGAAAACCACAGGGAAATGGTTGATGGTGGTTCCAAGCAAATATATCACTTTCCAAATGATACCTTTTACTTTGGGTTCTGGAAACTACCCTTTCTTCTTCTGAATGACTTTCCAATTTTTTGTTAAATATTTTTAAATCTTTATTTACTTTTGAGAGAGAGACAGAGTGTGAGCAGGGAAGGAGCAGAGAGAGAAGGAGACAGAATCTGAAGTAGGCTCCAGGCTCCGAGCTGTCAGCACAGAGCCTGAAGTGGGGCTCAAACCCAGGAACTGCGAGATCATGACCTGAGCCGAAGTCGGAGTCTCAGCTGACTGAGCCATCCAGGCGCCCCTCAATTTTTAAGATTCTAAATATCTGCCTATTCAAGGACACCCATAGTAGAAAACAAATGGTTGTAAAAATATACTACAGATTGTCTAAAAAATCTGTTAACTCTGGGGCGCCTGGGTGGCTTAGTCGGTTAAGCGTCCGACTTTCGCTTAGGTCATGATCTCGCGGTTCGTGGGTTCGAGCCCCGCGTCGGGCTCTGTGCTGACTGCCAGCTCAGAGCCTGGAGCCTGTTTCAGTCTGTGACTCCCTCTCTCTCTGACCCTCCCCTGCTCACGCTGTCTCTCTCTCTCCTAGAAATAAATAAAACATTTAAAAAAAAATTTTTTTTTAATCTGTTAACTCAAGGAAAACTGTCTTAATTATACTTCCCCCACCCCTAACAGTTGTATCCATTGCTTAAAGGCATATCACCTAAAAGTTGAAGGGAAATATCCTGAGCATATTATTTGAAAATATAACTAGTATGTTGTTTGAAAATCAGTTAGTCTTATACTTCTGACGTTTTTGTACATTCTATGAAGTGTGGTTTTTCATTATTGAAAATAATAGAACAACCTAAATGTTCAATTGTCAATTGTTAATTGTTGGAATTGTTAATTGTCAATTGGAATTGTTAATACATAAAATGATGGTGTTGAAATATACTTAGCGACCTAAAAAGGAATTCAGGATATATTTTTAAATGAAAAAAAAAAAAAAGAGAGAGATTATAAACTATTAGGTACATTATCTCATTTTTATAAAAGCATGTATGTGCTATTTATGTAGTTTTATGTATACAAAAATCTGAAAGGATATGCATAAATGTATGAGCAGTGACTATCTTTTTTGCCTTATCTATAGTTTCTAATGTTTCAGCAGGAAGTATGGATAATTCATGAGATGGGAATAAAAAGATAAATCATAGAATGGATTATTCAAAACTAAAGGAAACACTGACCGAGCTTATTAAACAGTGAGATTACTGAAACGAAACAGAAACCAAGGACTGCAAAACAAAACGAAACAAAACAAAAATCACGTAACTGTATATGATTTCAAATGATTTGCTGCCACCCTGTGAGGAAGGCTACTCATTGCGGGACTGAAATAAGCAAACTATGGAACTATGAAAAATCTGTAACTGAAGATGGAATCGCTTACATAAGCATGATCCAAGACGTTGTTTAAAGCTCTGTACCAGCTGATCAGTTTTGGTTTCTCTGTCAGCTATTTAATAAAACTGCTAGCGGGAAAATAATACCTAACATATCTGATTAAAGTATGTCACGCACTGTTCTGATAAATATGACTTTATCTTCCAAAAATCCTGTGAAGTTGTTTTTTCCTTATTTTTATAGATGAGACACAGAGATTCTAACCACCTGCCAACAGTGAGTAAATGTTATCAAAAGAATGTAAACCCGGGAGTTACATTTTGGATCAATGATTTAAATGTTTGAACTTTTCTGTTCCCCTCAACCACCCTCCCCCCATTCCCAAATGCACCGCCCAAACAGTTGACTGCTGCGCCTTTGTAGGAATGTACTGTATGTAATCTGAGAGGGATTATTATATTCCCCAAATAATCCGAGTTCCTTGAAGCTGTAGAGCAGCGTTGCTATTCAAAGTATGATCCACAGAGCGGGGCCCTTCCGAGAACTGATTGGTACCGATGCACAGGGAGCCGGGTACAGAAATTGAGAGTAAGCGTTTGAAAAACTTCATGGTAATTTTACAGGAAATGTTATGGCTGTTGACTCTAATAATAAAATGTCTCTCATATTTTTGTTTTATCTTACCAGAGCATGCTCCACAACTAACTGTTAATTCAAAAAACTAAGCTGCTCTACATGTATTCTGGGCAGCACAGTGCCAAGGATTCTTCTGAGGTTTATTTAGTTCCCCAAAATGAGGCCTCGGATATTTTTCCTCCCCTATTTTCATCCATCTTACGCTACAAAAGTATTGTAACGGTCCATAAAGCCAACATACGAGTGTAAAAAGTGGTCTTTGAGACTCGAGGGACGAGAGCCGGCAGCTGGACGAGCAGCGCCGCCAGACGCGCTGGCAGGCCTGGCTCCCCGCAGGCGCTTGTGCGCAGGCGTGCGTCCGCGGCAGCTGAGGGGGCGGGGCGAGGGCTGTGCGGCTGCGAGAAGACGCCACGCCTCCGCCTGAAGAAGGTCGGGATACTACCACTTCCGCCGGGGCGGCGCTCTGCATCCGGGTCAGCTGTTGCCGCTGCAGCTGTAGCCAAGGGGTTGGGCCCGGGTCTCCACTGCTGTCCGAGGGGAGCGGGCTCCTCTCGGTGCTACCTCCTGCGACCTGGCCGTCAGCCCCACGTCGCCGGCCTGGAAGGGCGAAGAAGACGAGGGGGCCAAGGCTTCCTCGGGGGTGAGTGCGGCCCGGGAAGACTAGGCACCGCGGGCCTGGGCTGGAAGCAGGCCTGGGGCGGATTTCTGAGGGGCGCTGGTCCACCCGACAGCCCGACAGAGGAAGCCCACAGAGTGTCCTGGTGTAAGGGGCGCCTTGGAATCTGCCCGGGAGGCGCTTCCCGGATCCCCACCCACCTGAGGCCCCCGCCCTTGGCTCGGCTCCTGCTGGCCTTTCCCATCCTTGCCCGCCCCCCGCTACCCCTTTTCCGTTTGTGCTGTTGTGCTCGGGATGGAACTTGCCCCTTTCCAGCCCCTCCTTGCACACACCTTGGTCTGGGTGCGGTGATCGGGCCGCTTTGGTCTCGTATTTAAGACCAGCGTCAGTCCTGGTGCAGAACAAAGAAACTTGGACGTCTGATGTGCCTCATATCCTCGAGGAATAGACACGGAAGCGACATTTGTAGCGAAAGCTTTCGTAGACCTTGCTGTGTGAAAAGCCTAATTCCTGCGTAGATTCAGACTTCACCTTTTGCTTGTTGGTTTGCGTTTCCTGGGTTTAGCTGATGCAGCTTGAGATCAAGATAGATCATCTCACGTTAAATCAGGAATTTATTCGGGTCTGTTACGTTGCTTTGAAACTTCCCTTGTCTGCCTGTTCCGGGAGCTCTTTGAGAGCCCAGCTTTTGCCCTGTTCATCCTGGTAATCATAGTGCCTTCCTTATATTTAGCTTCAGTGTGGGATTGCATTTTAGTGTTGCTTTTTTCGTCCTCATCTTTTTTGATTAGGATCTCTGTTTCTCTTAATGCATAATTACTTAACTTTTTCAATTAAACGTATTCTTTCTCTAAAATTTTATAAGAATTTCTGCAAATTGTATATGGATAAGGTTGGTTTATCTTCTTGATGATCTTGCACATCTTTTACTTAGTTCTTGGCATTTTTCCTTTTCTCCAAACTATTCTTAGCCTTTATAACCTCCTCAATTGCAGCCTAACATTGTTGGGCTTATTCAGGAAGTATGACTGGTCCACTTCTGCAAACGTGGAACTTGAACTAGATTATCATCAATCAGTGCTATTGTAGTCTTTAAGCATTAGAGGACCTTTGAAGTTAAATGTAACCAAATCTGGCATTACAGGCTTATTCTGTATAAAGTTGTCAGTGAACTGGAGAGTGTGCTGTAATAGTCCACCTTTAATCTGGGAACCAGGATGTAGTGTCATTTGCCTCACATGTAAGAAAGAAACGGTGATAATAACACCAATGTTTTATACCTTGCAGAAGTTTTTGATTGGAACATATGGGATGATGAATGTACAAGTGGTTAGTAAATGTGAAAAGGAAAGTAGTTCTCTTGATTGAATCTACAGTAGGAGCAGGGATGCAGGAAGGCATCTAAAAATGGAAGTATATATAGCCATTTCCTAAAAGTTAACCTTGATCGACAGTAGATGGAAAATGTCTTATTAAGCTTACATGGTATAAAGGAGATTACTAGTAGAATATGATGATAGTAATATTCCAAAGTTATCTGTTTTTAAGTTTACTAATTTATTTTGAGAGAGGGAAAGTACAAGCGAGAGAAGGACGGGCGGGAGGGGGAGAGAATCCCAAGAGGGCTCCACGCTTACACTGGGCTCAGTCTCCTGAACCGTGAGATCATGACCTGAGTGGAAATCAAGAGTTGGTCACTGAACCGACTAAGCCACCCAGGTCCCCCTCAAAATTATAATTTTATATTACAGCTAACACTTGTAAATACAGAGGCGCCTGGGTGGCTTAGTTGATTAGGCAGTTAAGTGCCTGACTCTTGATTTTTGTTCAGGTTATGATCTCACAGCTCATGGGTTCAGGCCCCTCCCTGCTTGAGATTCTCTGTCTCTCTCTCTCTCTCTGCCCCTCCCTTGCTCTTTGTCTCTGTCAAAAATAATAAAAATATATATTTGTAACTACAATAAAGAGGTCAGTATTAGACTTCAATCTTTGTAAAAGTTAGAGCATCTCCAGTATGTCCTGCATACAGATAATAAAAGTAGTGTTTGGGGGTGCCTGGGTGCCTCAGTCACTGAAGCATCCAACTCTTGATTTTGGCTCAGGTCATGATCTCATGGTTCATTGGATCCAGCCCCATAACAGGCTCTGCACTGGGGGAGCTTGCTTGGGATTCTCTCTTTCCCCCTCCCCCTCTCCCCCCTCTCCCTCCCTCTCTCTCTCCCTCTCTCTCCGTCTCTCTCTCTCTCTCCCTCTCTCTCTCTCTCTCCCCCACCCTCACTCTCTCTCTCCCTCTCTCTCAAAATAAACAGACTTTTTAAAAAAAAAAAAAAAAAGTACTGTTTAGGGGCACTGGGTGGCTCAGTCGGTTGAGCGTCCAACTTTGGCTCAGGTCATGATCTCACAGTTCGTGAGTTTGAGCACCATGTCAGGCCCTGTGCTGAAAGCTCAGAGCTTGGAGCCTGCTTTGGATTCTTTGTCTCCCTCTCTCCCTCTGCCCCTCCCTGCTCCTCTGCCCCCTCTCGCTCGCTCGCTCGCTCTCTCTCTCTCTCTCTATCCTTCAAAATAAACGCTAAAAAAAATTTTAAGTACTGTTTATAAGTGGCATAATTCTTCTTTGCTTTATTTTCACAGTTTTGAGAAGAGTCCGATCATTGTAATTTTTCTTGAATTTTGTGTTAACATTTCTGATAGAGTATCTCATTTTGCTCTTTTTTTAAATTGAGGTATAATTGGCACATAACATTATATTGGTTTGAGATGTACATACAGTAATGATTTGATATTTTTATATATTGAGAAATGATCACCACAATGAGTGTAGTTAACATTCATTGCCACATATTGTTAAAAATTTTTATCTTGTGATGAAAACTTTTAAGAATTATTTTCTTAGCATCTTCCAGATCTGCAATACAGTATTATTAATTATAATCACCATGCTGCACATTATCTCCTCAGGATTTATTTTATAACTGGAAGTTTGTACCTTTTGACCTCCTTCACCCATTTTACCCGCTCCTCCAACCCCCCTCCCCTCTGGCAACCAGTGTTCTCTGCATCTGTGAACTTCGTGTGCGTGTGTGGGTTTTAAGATTACACATATAAGTAAGACTGTATAGTATTTGTCTTTCTCTGACTTGTTATACATAGCATAATACCCTCAAGGTCTATCCATTTGTCCCAGCTGGCAAGATTTCATTCTTTTTATGGCTGAATAATATTCCATTCTATATTTGTGCCACAAATTCTTTATCCATTCATTTATAGATGAAAACTTAGGTTGCCTCTATACTTTGGCTTTTGTAAATAATGCCACAGTGGACATGAGGCTGCATATATCTTTTTGAGATAGTGGTTTTGTTTCCTTCAGATAAACACCCAGAAGTGGAATTTCTGGGTGATACAGTAATTCTGTTTTTTATTTTTTGAGGAGCCTCCATACTGTTTTCCACGGTGGCTGCACCAATTCACATTCCTACCAGCAGTGCACAGGGCTTCTTTTTCTCCACACCCTTACCAACGCTTGATATTTCTTGTTGAATTGAGAATGGCCATTCTCATAGCTGTAAGGTAAGGTGATATGTCATTGTGTCATTTCATTCTTAAAAACCCCTGCATGATCCTGCTCTCCAGGAAGTGGTGACAAGCATGTAAGATTTTTCCGGAGGTATTCTGGTGATCTTTGTAAACGTATAACTTGGCTTAAAGTATTTTCCTATAGTGCTACCAGTATTGCCAGCCTCACAGGACAAAGTGAACATAAATATTTAGAATGAAGCCCTTTCGTTTAAGTCGGAAATGAAAGGCTTGCCTGGGCATTTCCTTCTGCCAACTACAATTGATTTCAGCATAGATGGTGGTTACTAGCACCTGTTTCAGCCGAACTGTTAAACTACATAATAGTAAAGTTGCAATGTAAGATTATAATTTATAACTCAGATGGCTGTGAATACGATTTTAATATTTAATTTTTGCTTTTAATGTTTTCAGTATTGAATTGCACAGGGAAATCTCCTTCTTAATCTTGTTTGAATTTACCACTACAACTGCCTCCAGAGGCTGTCAGGAGGAAATCCATTCTCCTTGATTTTCAACCTCATTGAGGTCAGCACTGTTCTGAATTTATCTCTATGACTTCCACTGATAACTGGCGTTAAGTAATGATGTGCGCCCTGTACCACAAGCTGTTGAGAAATCAAGTTATTCCTGTTGCATTAGGTTGTTTTAACAAATGGCATCTTAAAGTGTTATTTCCCCATTCTAATTTACCAAATCTATGAACAAAAAATGGGAAACAGCCACAGTTAACTTGTGAGTCAGCAATGTCCTGATTTCCTTCAAAGTGTTTGTGCTTATATTGCTCCTTTCTTGTTTGTTTCCTGTTCTTACAGCTGCTGATGATTAAGTGCTTCCAAGAACAATATTCCCTGAATTGTTTAAACTTTTTATCTACCTAGTATACTTTTCTCTCTAAAATTCATGATGAAATGGTAAAGAGTGAATCTATCTTTATCTCTCCTCCTAGGTTCTGTTTAACTAGCTTAAAAAAATTATCCCCAAACTAAAATATCCGTGTCCATGTGCTGTGTGTATTAACATCATGTACTTCATGATTTTGAAGTACAAATTGAATGAATCAGCTGAGACATCTGAAGGACACAGGCTCTCTATTGTGTAGATAAGTTCTTTTCTAGTGATAGACCTGTTGCAGTGGTAGAGGACCTAAAGGACATGGTTTGTCTTCCCAAATTTCACTGATTACATATTTTCTCCTTTTGAGGGGTAAAACAACAGAAAGCCTACTTATGTAGCTTAATAAGAAAAATAAGCCTAAAGGATAGAGCAAAACAAAGGCTTGCTATCCAGTGCCATATCGTACAATTAAATATTTATTCTTATAACTGATATTTACAGGCTTCTGTGCCAGGCACTGTGCTAGGTGTTGGGAATATAGTGATAGCAACTTTCAGTTGAGATGGTGAATATTTTTCTGAGTATGTGGGATGTTTGAAAAAGACACCAAGAACATCCTCATATTTTTCCAACACTCGGCAAAAAGGTGAGACAAAATAAAACTTTTTCTGATTATTGAATTTAGGAAGTATATTAGTTCACTTTCGAGGGATTATAAAAGCCTTGAGAAAACATTGAGGAAAACATTAAAAATTTGGAAGAGATGGTTTTAAACCTTTATTAATAGAGTGTTTCAGCTTCCTGAGCATCAGTTTCCAGGGCAATAAGCATTAAGTATTTGGGCTTCTTGACCATACTTTTGGGGTCTTCTACACTAGTTCTGTGTTCTTTATAGAAGAGATGGGGAAGGTAGGAATCCCTTTTCTGTTTATTTTCTTCTCTGCTCAACATTGCCTAGCTCACTGTTTGCCCAGAGAATTAGAAATCCGTTACTCCTGTGTATAAATACTGAGTTTTCCAAGTAAATATGTTGGTGAGGAAAAGATAGCATTTGCCATTTTTTTGGTACTTGAAAGTGTGTCCTCGAAAATTTAAACCTCTTGAGAATGTGTGAAACCTTTCTTTGAGCATAAGTAAGAATTCACTTGGCAGAGATATAAATTTAGTTTACCATGTGGGATGTAACACTTTACAAAATTGCCAGTGTAATTTTATTGTTGTCCTGGAACATAATGCTTTTTCTCTACAACTTTGTATGTCTTTTGACTGTTGTAATGACGGCAGATAAAGCAACCATAAACCATGACCATGTCTTTGTTTTATGTACTTATTTATTTATTTATTTAATTTTATTTTTTTACTCCAGTATAATTAACAGTGTTACATCAGTTTCGGGTGTATAGTAGAGTGATTCAGCCAATTTGTACGTGACTCAGTGCTCATCATGTTAAGTGTCTCTTAATCCCCTTCACCCATCCCTCACCCAGCTCCCCATCTTTATATTTAAGACTCAGGGGGTTTTGTTTATCTCTTTTTACTTCGTTCATTTGTTTTGTTTCTTAAATTCCACATATGATGTATTTGTCATTCTCTGACTGGCTTATTTCACTTAGCATCATATCCTTGAAATCCATCCATGTTGTTTTAGAAGACTGATTGAAATGAATGGGAATGACTGGCACCATTTGTTTTATTTGATAAGTATTTTTAAAAGTTACATGCACAAGATTTTAAAAGTCAAATAGGTTAGGATTTACTATGAAAAGCATCAGTCATTCTTCCCATCTCACCCTCTTTCTTTTACTGGGACCAGCCACTTTTCACTTTGCTTTTGGGCTTTTACTACTTCTAGTGATACTTTCTCTCTTAAGAAATACATGTCTTACTGCTTTTTAAAAAATAACATTAGTCATCTGTTGACTTGCTCTAATGTAATTGAAATTGAATACTCATTTATACCTCTTCTCCCCTAAAGTTGTCACAGTTTTTTGTTGCACTCATTAACCAGTTGATCTTTATGGCCCCTCAAATAATATACTTAAATGTCTATTTCTTATTCCATCAACCAAACCAATCTCTAGGTTCTTCAATTTGTAAAATAAGGATGTTGGCCCCCACACCCTTCCTTGGAGAAACTAAAATTTAATGGCGTAGGTTAACACATGTAGATGCATCAGTAGAAATATTCACTAAGTGTCTAAAAACTTACGCTGAACTGTATGAGAAAAGTTTAGCGTAGATATGAAGCAAATCAAAATTAATTACTGGATAATTACTGAATAGCCTTCTTTAAATGGATCTGGAATTACGGCATTGGAACTATAGAAGGAAATAGAGAAAACAACACACGTGTTAATTATACTTCAATTCAAAAATGTTAATTATACTTTAGTCTTAAAAAAATACAGCACACATATCACTCGGCTTTACTGCCATCGTGAGTATAAATGCGATTTACTATCAGTTTCTAGAATCAGGTTCCATCCAGAGAACAGAAATTTAATTATGGGGTCTAGAGTACAGAATATATTTACTTTTATTCAGTATGCCTTCCCCCACAAATTGTTTTTGCATAATTCACAATACTTAATAAAATTTAAATCACATCCTGGGATACACGTGCATATATGTAACTGAAAACAAAACAAATATTTTCACTGTATAATACACTTACTACAAATAACACTGACTTTACTAGAATATATATATATGTTTATATATACACACACACACACTTTGTTTTTATTCTCTCTCTTTCTCTTTTTTTTTTTTTTTAATGGTAGTTGAAACCCACTAAATTGATTTCATGAGCAGGGTAGAGGTGTGAACTAAGGTAGAAGATAATTACACATTTTCAGCAGATAAAAAATAACATGGAAGATATGTTGTTATAAATTTTTCTCTTTTCACAGGACATTGGCTCTCTGGATTATCAGGAGCTTGTAGGTGATATTGAATCTAAGCTGAGGATGGAAGGTGTAGAACTTAAGGAAGAATGGCAAGATGAAGATTTTCCAATGTGAGCAATACTTTTAAAAGAAAACAAATTTAAAACAAAACTTCAGATCTCTTTATTTGAATGTCACTTACTAAATGAATATTGAGTTTTTTAAAGAAGCCCAGTATTGAGGAGCACCTGGGTGGCTCAGTGGGTTAAGCATCTGACTTTGGCTCAGGTCATCATCTCGTGGTTTGTGGGTTCAAGCCCTGCGTCGGGCTCTGTGCTGACAGCTCAGAACCTGGAGCCTGCTTTGGATTCCGTCTCCCTCTCTCTCTGCCCCTCCCTACCTCATGCCCTCTCTCTCTCTGTCTCAAAAACAAATAAACATTTAAAAAAAAAAAAAAAAGAAGCTCAGTATTGAAAGGTATTCATTTGATACTAGAAAATGAGAGCTCCTTTCCAACATTTAGATGAATTCTCTTGTATCTTCTTTTCCAACTAAATATATGTGATCTTCTATAATCTTTCATTTTGTTTTCAAGATTTAAATTTCAAAATTGTTGTTATTATTTAAAAAAAAATGCTTTTATATGGTATTTCTTAGAGTCTATTGGGTTCCTGGAAGAAGGGAGTCCTTAAATGTCTGTAAGGGTTGTTAAATTTTGTGCTTCTGTTTCAAGAAAAAACTTATTATTTAATAAGTTTTAAGGGGTGTTTTTGTTTTTGTTTTTTTAAGATCATCTGGCCTGCTACCTTGATATATTTGCATTTGTGTTTACAACGGTATTGGCACCAGCTGGATTAAGAGAAAAAGGGCAGAGGCAGATCTCATATTCAAATGATGCTTCCATACCTTCCTGGTCAGAAGACCATCCCAGTGCATGGGACGGGAAAGGTCCCTTAGCAGTGGGAATATGGACAGCTGGTGGGAGTACTCAGTCATTGCATAATACATGGTGACGATAGCATTGTAGAAATACTGGGCTCAGAAGAATTGTAGCCATCATTACCATATTCCCATTTGAGGGATTAAGTTTACCTTCATCACCCATTGTATCATATGTCACATTAAATTCCTGAATTTGAATTATGTATATTTTTAGGCTTTTTATAATTTTTAGAATAGTTTTATGATTTTATTTAAGAGCAATTACATAAGGAATTTATATCTGTTTTTATGTGTTAACTTATTTAAATACGTAAGTCATCTCCAACGTCTGAATTTTTGTTTCTTGAAAAGTGGTTTGTAAATTTTTGAAGCTTAAGAAACCACTCTATTCAGTTTTCCACATAATTGCTTCTATAAGATATTTTTAATAGTTCTTTGAACTTCGAAGAAAAGTTTTTAATTTGTGAATTAAAAATTATGTCTGTGTCTTCTAGACCTTTACCAGAGGATGATAGTATGGAAGCAGATGTATTAGCTGTAACTGGACCAGAGAGCCAGCCTGGTAAGAACTTGACACTTTGGTTTCTATGAAATGATAGACTTTGTGCTGTTTTGGAACACATTTCTTTGTCAAGCAAAAAAAAAAAAAAAAAAAAAATACATACTCATTTTTTGTTCTATTATTGGGAGCCAAAGAATAAGTTAAATGTTTAAGAAAGTATTTTGGAATGCTTTGGAATTTTAACTTTCCAAAGACATCCCCTTGGATTTTGGAAATTTCTACAATAAAAAGGTTAGAGGAGATCTTTTATAGTAGTAAGAGTTGACTATAAGGTCAGCGTCTGTCATTTAAAAAGATACATCCTTGTTGGGGTATGTCGTCTTGCCTTGCCAGAGAAACAATAATGACCAAAGTCCAAAGTTTGTAAATTAATACTTCGGGATTGTGTTTGGTTAATGTTATTTTTCTCAAGAATGGAGTGATCAAAATTTTTCTCTTACTCAACTTGAGCATGTAAGCATTCCTTCTAATCTATTTTTCACTTTCTCTTTTCTTTTCTTTTTCTTTTTTTTTTTTTAACTTACCCATTCCATGTTCACTAGAACTTAATGGAAATAAAGTAAGAAAGAAACTCATGGCGCCAGACATTAGCCTGACCCTGGATCCTAGTGATGGCTCTGTGCTGTCAGACGATTTGGATGAAAGTGGGGAGATTGACTTAGATGGCCTAGACACGCCATCGGAGAACAGTAATGAATTTGAGTGGGAAGGTAAATGCTTCATTGTTTTTATCTAACCTTTATTAATGAATGTTTGTCTCTATAAGCATTTGTGTTTTTTGGATAGCAGTCTCATATTAGGATAATTAGGAAAACTTAAAACTTGAGCAGGAACCCAAAATCTATCACAAAGGGATTTTGTTGAAATATAATGTTCTTTAAAATTCCTACTGCATTTGTTACTGAGATGTGAAATACTGCTAACACTGAATGTTCTCATGGCTTTCAAAACTGTTTTTTGTAGATTACACAGGTGGTCTCATTTTTCTTAATTGCCCAGTATTGTAAAGTTATGTTTTCTCATGTTGCTTCCAAAATACTGCTTGATAATTATGGCATATTCTTTTATTCAGAAGATTAATGAAAAAAAAACTTTGAAGAGACATGTGATTTAGGGAATATGCTAAAAGTCGTTAGGGATTTGAAGAGATTTTTTTAGTGAGGTTTGCCTGATACTGGTACACTGTGTAAACAACCAGCCTGAATTGTGTATGCTCTTAGTCCTCAAACTTTATGTTCCTTATTATTAGTTATTTAGAATTCAAAGGAATTGGCATGTGTTTTGCTTTGGATGCTTTCTTTAATTACATAATTGCTGTGTACAGTATCTTTATATACTTGTTTGTATGTTCCATCCTTAAAATGGTTTTCACTTCAAAGCAGTGTTTGGCACTATGTGTCTTATCTGCAGTTAAGAATAAGATCCTTGATATGCTGTATCTTTGTTCCTTTTTTCTCCCCTGTTTTACTGGTTCACTAAGCAGTCCAGTTATAGCAATATTTTAAAAGATACTGAAATAGTTTTCTGCCTATGTGTTTTGTCTCTTCTTTCTTTAATGCTGCTGTAGTCATTTCCTGGAAGGATATTTTCCGTTAACAGCTTTATCTTGGAAACAAACAACTAACATGCAGTAGGTCCCCCCTCCCCCATCTTTTGGTAAGGATTATGATACTAAAATTTTGAAAATCATTACTTCATTTAAAATCTGCTAAAATGAAATCTTGAAATATGAATTACACCTAATCATTGGTGCTTCTGCTTTGGCTAATGTCGATTTAAAATATTGGACTTTTGCATGTACACATCAGAAAATTTTCAGTAAATATATGCTTAATAAAATTGATAAAATGAGAAATAATCATTGACCAGTTAACCACTTTCTATCTGGTATTACAATGTTTGGGGAGTAATTTATGTGCTCAATAACAAAATCCAGTTTGCCCTCAGTTTCTGTGAATAACTTATAGTGGTAACTACCAAGAACAATGTTGTAAATAGAATCTAGAAGAACATTGTATGGCCAATATCCTAAGATTTTGATGGCTGTGTGAATTTTCTTTTTTGGACTCATGAATATACACTGCATGGTGATGAGGTGCCTTCTGAAAAAAGCAATACAAAAAAAGTTAACCATGTTTTTCAAAAACATAAAATGGCCTCCTATGAAGAACAAGCCTTTTTCTCTATTATAGAAGAAATACTTAAAATTCCACAGAAGGTATAATGAAAAATTCTCTGAACAATCTAATTAGATAGTAAAGTGGTTAACATGCCATTTTATTTTTATTATTTATATATAACAGTTGTGATTCAAAAACCTTTTATTTTGACAGATGATCTTCCAAAGCCCAAAACTACTGAAATTATTAGGAAAGGCTCAATTACCGAATACACAGCAGCAGAGGAAAAAGAAGATGGACGACGCTGGCGTATGTTCAGAATTGGAGAACAGGACCACAGGGTTGATATGAAGGCAATTGAACCCTATAAAAAAGTTATCAGCCACGGAGGTAACAGCTTTCAAAGATTGTTCATATATTTTAGTGCAATATCAGAAATGTAAATGCTTAAAGAAACTCTCCTTTGAGTTAAAAAATATAATTGATAAGCACTTCTTATGTGATTTTAGAAATATAACAGGTGTGAAGTAAAAGGGTAAAACCAAACTTAAAAATCACTAGTGCATGCACACAGTATGTTCAAAAGGTACAAGAGTGTGCAGCAAAAATTGTCTTCCACCCTCTGCCTCGACACCTCCCCAAAATTGAGACTTTCTCCTCTTTGTATCCATTTATAATTATATACAGTGAAATGCTGTAATCCTTTTTTGTAGCATTTGCATATTTTTTTTTTTGTCCCAGCTTCGTGAGATAATTGACATCTAACATTGTGTAAGTTTAAGGTGTAAAATGTGTTGATATGATACAACATATATTGCAGTGATTACCATTTCTTTTTTGTGGTGAGAACATTTATGATCTACTCTGTTAGCAACTTCCGAGTACATAATATGGTATTATTAACTCCAGTCACTATGCAGTACGTTAGGTCCCTAGAACTTATTCGTAGTATAACTGGAAGTTTGTACCCTTTGACCAACATCTCCTCTTTCCCCCTGCCCCTGGTAACCACTGTTCCGGTCTCTTTCTAAGTTAGGCTTTTTTAGATTCCACATACAATGATATCATACCGTATTTGTTTTTCCTCTTTTGGGCTTTTTCACTTAGAAATGCTCTAATTTGAAATGTAAGATTCAGTGAGTTCTGACAAATGCCCGTATACTCATGTTACCTATACCTCGAGACATGTAGAGCTTCTCATTGCCCCCAAAATTCTCTCATACTCCTTCCCAATGAATACCCCATTCCCAGTAACCACTATTCTAATGTCTATCGCCATGACATTTCTTGTCCTAGAATTTCATGTAACTAGAATCATATGTTAGACATTCTTTTGTCTGCTGCTTCTGCTGAGCATATTCTGGAGATTTCTCCATGTTGTTGCATGTATCTCTCGTTCATGCCTTTTTATTGCTAAGTGATATTTCATTGTGTGGATTAACCACAGTTGGCTTATTCAGTTTTCTTTTGATGGACACGTTAGTTTCCAGTTTGGGTTATTATGATTAAAACTGCTGTGAACATTCTTGTACTAGTCTTCTGTTGTGTGAGTAAAACCTGGCGTTACCTTAAAACCCTAAACAAATCCTATAGCTTTACCATGAAGTACAGGACTGGTTCGTTCCTCATTCTTTTTTTTTTTTTAACTAAAGTATGTATTTTTTAAATTTCCAATAAAGGACATAATCCAATTAAAAACAGGCAAAGGACCTGAATACACATTTCTCCAAGAAGATATACAAATGGTGAACAAACACAGGAAAAGTGCTCATATCATTAGTTACCATTAAAATGTAAATCAAACCACAATGAAGTACTAATTCAGATTCACACCCTATAGATAGCTAGAAAAAAAAAAAGAAAATTACAAGTGTTGACATGGATGTACTGAAATTGGAACCCTTACACATTGCTGGTGGGAATGTAAAATGGTTAGGTTTCTGTGAAAAACAATTTGGCAGTTCCTCAAAAGTAAAACATAGAAATAGTGTATGACCAGCAGTTCCACTTCTAGATATATACCTGAACGAATAGAAAGGCAATCAAACAAATACATATACATATGTGTTCACAACAGTACTATTCACTACAGCCAAAAAATAGAGACAATGCAACTATCCAACAAGTGAACAAAAAGGCAATTTGTGGCATAATCCATACAATGGAATATTAATCAGCCATATAAAGAAATGAAGTACTGATATGTGCTACAATATGAAAAAACCTTAAAAATATCGTAAGTAAAATAAATTATATGCAGAAGGTCACATATGATTCCATTTATGTGAAATATTTAGAATACATAAATCTATAAAGACGGAATGCAGACTAGGGGCTGTAAGCAGGAGTGGGCTGGGGAGGGAAATCAAGAACAACTGTTGACTGGATTCTGGGTTTCCTTTTGGGGTATGAAACTGTTTTGGAACTAGACAGCTGTAATGGTTGCCTGACACTGCAAATGCAGTAAATTCCACTCATTCCTCATTCTTATGGAACACCAACTTTCCATATTTGTGGGATATCCAGTAATATAAGGCTTTTGTTTCTTGAGAAATCACAAGTCAAAAGGAAAAGCTATTGAAGTACAATTACAACTTCTATCCATCTGTGCCAGGTTCAGAAGTTTACCTATACGCTGTAAATAGTGCCAAAATGTTAATAGTAGTCCAAATGCAATTCACTCTTGGAGCACCTGGGTGGCTCAGTCTGTTGAGCATCCGTCTTCAGTTCATGATTTCATGGTTCATGAGTTTGAGTCCCACGTCGGGATCTGTGCTGACAGCTCAGAGCCTGTAGCCTGCTTTGGATTCTATGTCTCCCTCTCTCTCTGCCCTCCCCCACTTGTGCGTGCGTGCGCTCTCTCTCTCTCTCTCTCTCTCTCTCTCTCTCTCTGTCTCTGTCTCTGTCTCTCTGTCTCTCTCAAAAATAAACATTGAAAAAAATGCAAGTCACTCTCTAGAACATGTCATATTACCTGAAATCCTAGTGCGGGAAAGGGGACCACATAGGTTAAGTAGATTGGGTTTTTTATGTAAAGTCATTTCTACTTAATTTACTCTCTGCCAAATGCATTCTCCTCCTTATTTCTATAGTCTTCATTCATCTGAAAACAAATCACTTGAATATTTGCAGTTACATTATTCCACTCAATTTAATCTTATTCATATGAACAAAACAGGATAATCTGGATCAGGAAGTCCACAGATTTGCATTAATTCAGCTAGTTCACAGGAAACAAGTTGTGAGACCTGCCTTATGGTTTAAACCTAATATCTTTCAGGACTAGAGCTTTATTTGGATTAGGGGAAAATAATTAGGGCCATTTTATCCTACTGAATTATCACAATGTGTTTTGTGACTAAGAGATTAAGAAAGATATTGAAGATACTAATGTACTTGAAATGTTTAAACCTTTTCAGTGTGTGTTTGTAAACACTAGAAATGAAAGTTAAAGCAAAACAGTTCGTTACTGGTTACAGCTTAATATCTAGAGATTATAATAAACATACACATTTTAACACTTTCTCTCTTATTTTAATGATTATTTATTTTTGAGACAGAGACAGACAGAGTGTGAACAAGGGAGGGGCAGAGAGAGAGGAAGACACAGAATCTGAAACAGGCTTCAGGCTCTGAGCTGTCAGCACAGAACCTGATGCAGGGCTCAAACCCAGGAACTGCGAGATCGTGACCTGAGCCGAAATCAGACACTTAACCGACTGAGCCACCCAGGCGCCCCTAACACTTTTTCTTCTGTTAGAATTGTCAGAGATGTAATCTCTTCTTAGTTTTTAACACTCTAAAATCCACAAAATGCTAGGCATTGTACTGTTTTTTGAAAAACACCCACTTTAACCATAAATTTCATAAGATTGTTTTATTGCAGATATTTTTGGTTTATGTCTGCTTGGATTATATCATATTTGTCTATTTGCTAAAATAAGTCTGGCTTTCTGATGATGCTACTTTAACTGGTTTTCTGGTTTTATGCCCACCATTTCCTCTTCAGATTTTATTGCTCTTATTTTGAGAAGAGGGGATTTAAAGATCTTTCTCAGACTATTTCAGGTTAAAAAAGAAACCATGCTTTTTGATCCAAAAATTTGTGGAATGTGAACCACTGTCTGTCAACTGTACAGATTTCCTCTGAAAAAGTAAAATCATCCTGGTGATTTTTTAAAATTTATTTTCCAGGATATTATGGGGATGGATTAAATGCCATTGTTGTGTTTGCTGTATGTTTTATGCCTGAAAGTGGTCAACCCAACTATAGATACCTGATGGACAATCTCTTTAAGTAAGTATATCTTCACAAAAACATTTGGACAGAATTTTGGGCAAATCAGATCTCCAGCTTAAGGAGGTGAAGATGGGAAAAGATAAATACCCTCGTCCTGATTAAGTCCTTATTCTTTGGCATTATGCGACTATTTGTTTTCCAACTCAGCAGAAAAATTGTCAGTTTAAAGCTGGAAGGGATATTTCAGACTCTCTGTTCCAACTACTTTATTATTTATATTTGAGGATGCATTAAGTATAAAGAAATTGCTTTTATCTCAATCATCTGGCAAAACTGCATTTATTCCCAAGAAACCAAAGGTAACTGAAGTTCTGTTATATTTCTCCAGAATCATTTTCTTTCTTAATTTGGTGCTATTTTTAAAACTGTTTTTTTTTAATGGAAGACTGCTTAACCTTCAGCCTTCACTTTAAGGGGTAGGCAGGTGTTTTTTGTTTTTTGTTTTTTTAATTTTTTTTATGTCTTTATTTTATTTTGAGAGACAGAGACAGAGAGTGAGCGGGGGAGGGCCAGAGAGAGAGGGAGACAGAATCTGAAGCACGCTCCAGGCTCTGAGCTGTCAGCACAGAGCCCGACGCAGGGCTTGAACCCACGGACTGTGAGATCATGACCTGAGCCGAAGTCGGACGCTTAACTGACTGAGACATCCAGGCGCCCCTGGATGAGGGGCGCTGGAGTGGCTCAGGTGGTAAAACATCTGACTCTTGATCTCAGCTCACGTCTTGATCTCATGAACCATGAGATTGAGCCCTGCATCAGGCTCCATGCTGTCAGCATGGAGCCTGCTTGAGATTCTCTCTCCATCTCTGCCCCTCTCTCTTGCACACACACACTCTTTCTCTAAAAATAAGTAAACTTAAAAAACTTACTGTGAAAAATTGCAAACATATAAAAAGACAGTATACTGAATCCTTGTGTATGAATCACCCGCTTCCGTAGTTACCATTTTATACCTCCCCAAAATTTATGCTGTCTCCATTGTATAACTTTGGAGCAAATCCCAGAAATCATGTTATTTCATCTATAAACACTTAAATATGTATTTCCAAAAGGTAACTTGTTATGATACATAATCATAATACCAACTAATGCAATTTTAAAGCTTTTTTTTTTTTTTTTTAAGAGAGAGCAAGATAGTGTTCTTGTTGGGGGTGGTGGGCAGAGAGAGAGAAAGAGAGAGACAATCTCAAGCAGGTTCCTTCAGTGCAGGGTGATCCCATGACCCTGGGATCATGACCTGACTGGGATGCCCAACCAACTGAGCCACCCAGGTGCCCCCAACTATTGTAGTTTTAAATTTTTAATTGGCTTTGCTGTCACTGAAGGGAAGGGAAGGACATTGTATAACTTGGATAATTGTGTTTGGCACTATAAAGCGCTATTTACGTCTTAAACTCAATTTGTTGTTTTTACAGGTATGTTATTGGCACTTTGGAGCTATTAGTAGCAGAAAACTACATGATAGTTTATTTAAATGGTGCTACAACTCGAAGAAAAATGCCCAGCCTGGGATGGCTCAGGAAATGCTATCAGCAAATTGATAGAAGGTATTGTAAATACACATTGAAAGCTAGTCTGAATAATTTTTAGATTAGATTTATTAGGTTAAATTCTATTTTATATTGCCACTTTAAGACACCATAAATTACATTATTTACACTCATAACACATTTCTGTTTTCTCAGTTCAGTATCTTAGAATATCATGAAGGAAATTAGTTTTGATCTGTTTTACAAAGAATAATTCCTTAAAACGAACTTATAAAATAGTTACATATTTCTCCTTATTTATACCACACTGAATATTTTCCTGTAATTTACATTTTAGGAAAGGATGGAAAATTTAGTTTTGCCTAACTGATGGTGCTTAGCATATTTTATGGGGTTTTTAAAAAATTTTTTTAATGTTTATTTATGAGAGAGAGAGTGACCGCAGGGGAAGTCAGAGACATAGGAAGACACAGAATCCAAAGCAGGCTCTGGGCTCTGAGCTGTCAGCACAGAACCCAATGCGGGGCTCAAACTCACAAACTGTGAGATCATGACCTGAGCCGAAGTCCGACGCTTAACTGACTAAGCCCCCCAGGTGCCCCTACCTTATGGTTTTTAAGGTGCTCCGCTATAATCTTCCTCTGGAGTGAGCTCCAGAAGTGTGTTCTCCTGAGAGTTATTCATCCATGCGAATGGAAGGAACTTTGATTCTCTAATGGGTTTGATTTGACTATACCTAGTTTGAACTAATTTAATGAACTCAGACTCATTAATAGGTTTCTCTAAATCCCTAACCATGGCAGGAGCTAGTTTTTATTATTTAAAAAAAAATCCTCAATAATCAATTTAAGTGTGAAATATATGTTGATAAAACAGTTTTATTTGGTCATTATAGGTCATCAAGAATAATGCCTTTAATTTTTATTTGGTATTTTAGACTCTGTAAGAACATGTTAGGTCTGATTTACATTTCCTGTTCCTGTGGTGATCACGTCCAGCTTTCTGTTGGCACAATGCCTGTCATAACGTTGAAGAAATGAGTACCAGTTCCCTCCTCCTGAAAAATGAAAACAATTTACCTCTGTATTCAGTATTAGCCTCTACCCATGGTTGACAGAATCCTAAAGAAAAGTGAATATATCTGGCAGACATTTAATGACAGGCTGTACTGTGGATGGACATAAGTTTAGCCAAATGAAGTAAAGTCCATGTCATAGTAGTAGGAGTGACCATCAGAATTCAAGAGTGCATTTTCTTGTCTTTAGAAATATCACATCTAAATGAACTTATGGATGAGAGTTTTTTTGTATAACGTTGTACATACCTAGTGATGTCTTAACCTTTTCTTCCAGCATTAGAATTTGTAGAGCTTTTAAATTTTTATTTCTCTTTCTTTTTTCTTTTTTCTTTTTTTTTAAATCCAGGTTACGGAAAAACCTAAAATCACTAATCATTGTACATCCCTCATGGTTTATCAGAACACTTCTAGCTGTTACAAGACCCTTTATTAGGTAATTTTCTGAGAGCCATTGACTTAAAAAAAAAAAAAAACAACTAGAAACAAAAACACAAACTCCTTGTATGAATTTGTCAGTTCTGTTGGTCAGAATATTTAGGTAATTATTTTTATTTTCTTCCATAGCTCAAAATTCAGCCAAAAAATTAGATACGTCTTTAATTTGGCAGAACTAGCGGAACTTGTCCCCATGGAATATGTTGGCATACCAGAATGCATAAAACAGTATGTTTTGTTTTATTTCTTTAATTATATTGGACCTTTATATTTTGATGTGCACGAGGTAAATATTTTTCAATACTCACTATTTTTCATTTCCTGTATTATAAGTATTTTGTAACTGCTCTTGTTTTTGTAACGAATGGAAAGGGAAAGAAGCCATTTTCCAACACCTTCCCCGTAAGTCACCATTTTCTTCAGGCTGTCAGTTGAAGAAGTAGGAAGTATTTTTCTGGTTGTGATTAATTTTCATTTTTGAAGACTCTTTACAATCTTAAGAGGTGATTTCCTGGTTGGTCATTACTAAAGTACATTCTCCAGACTTGAACATGCTGCTCTCCAAATATGAGTAAATTCATCATGGCATTAAATAATCCTGTTACTGGAGAAATACAGTATTATTTATATCAGCCTAACCGCAGGACATTCCAGTGGCTGGAATATGTTCTGTTTACCAAATCCACTTCTTTCTAACTTTTATAAAGAATTGGTAGAAGGTTGTTAACACAAATACTTGAGTATCACACTGCCATAATATGGAAAAAGTTTTTTGTTCTGCTAATATGAGGTTTAGTCCTTTTAATGTGTCAAGCCAGATTTCTTAGGTCAGTTTTGACTTTCTCCACAGTGTATTAAGTTTTGGTTTTACCTGCAGACTTATATGAGTTTATTGTCAGTGCCTTTTTTCGAGTTTTTGTTCATCTTCATAACATGTATATTTACTGAAATAACTCTTCCCTACCAAGGTATGAAGAAGAAAAGTTAAAAAAGAAACAAAAAAGGTATATGCACACCTTGAATGGGTTGCATCTAGACTAGTCCATTTGCATTGCACAGACTAACTCTTCTTTATTGGTTGGTTAGCTTGTAGACAAAGATAATAGCATCTGTAAATATAAACATACTCCAGAATCCAAATACAGAGTGAATCCAAAATTCCTGATGCTGAATATGGCTTGGATTCACCCTGCTTTAACACCATGTATAATGCCAATTAGGAAGTAAAGGCCACAGTCCCTCTTCACTTCTTTTTGGTATACACGGTGATGACAAAACCAGAGAAATTGCTAAGAATGCTATTTGAAAAACCAGTTACCTCTAAGACTTTTATCTGTTTCACCATATTCTCAAAATATGTCTAGTGCTTTTGACAAATATATATGTACTTCTTTAAGGAATCCATTTATTTCCCAGGGGTTAATGATTATATTTGCAGTGCACATATTCTTTGGCTAACCAACATTGATTTCCCTGTATGCTTATAAATGTCCTGCTAACCAGTCAAATTCTACATATAATAAAATACCTAAAATTCAGTATACCATTTAATAGTTAAATACTCTCTGCTTTTCATCTTTAATTTTGAATACTTCTGCTTTGAGCATAACAAACTATTAGCTTATTAATACCTTGGCATAGAACATGAAAGGCAAGGGTATAAAATAGTTAGCATTTTATATACTAATTGAAACAGTGTAGGACTTGGAGCTAACTTGTTAATGGATTTTTTGAAATAATGACATATTAGCAAAACAGGTTTAGTACAGTCTCTTAAGAGTTAAGGTGAGAAATTTTTATGTAGTTATTATCACTTTGACCATTCTAAGGAACCAATTAAAAGGAACTGAAACTTTTAAAAAAATTTTTTTGATGTTTATTATTTTTGAGAAAGAGACAGAGAGCAAGCAGGGAAGGGGCAGAGAGAGAGGGAGACACAGAATCCGAAGCAGGCTCCAGGCTCTCAGATGCCAGCACAGAGCCCGAAGCAGGTCTCAAACCCACAGGCCTTGAGATCATGACCTAAGCTGAAGTCAACCACCTAACCGACTGAACCACCCAGGCACCCCGTAACTGAAACATTCTTAACTTTGAATACATTTTGCCTCTGTTTATGAGCAAGAATTCTATTGACCATGTGATGGAATCATGGTACTTAAAAGAGATTAACAAACATTTTAACATAGAGATGTGAACAGTAATTTTAGATATTGCTAATTTTCTTTCTAGGCACTGGTGTACACTTGCCAGACAGACAACTGCAATTAAAAATATAATCTGTAATTGTATATTGAAACCAGCTGCTTTGTGGATTTCAAAATGAATTACCTTTGTTGATAAAATCTGCTGTGTCTTTTTACAAAGTTCTTAGTATTCAGTTACCTAGAATTTAGGCATCAGAAAAATAGTGGAACTGTACTTTTTAAATGTATTTTTTGATAACCTACCAGTATTTTTTTTTCTTTTTTTTAAACTTCTGTTTAACCTTGACATGTATCTTCCAGGCACGTCTTCATTTTTGTACAAGGTTTTTTTACTTTTAAAAAATAATAATCCTTGTTAGCTTGAAAATGGTAACATTCAAGTTTTAAAAATAAAGGAGCATGTTTTCAAAAATTTCACAGAGGCTGTATGTGGAGGAGCTTATTACTTAAGGTGAAATCCCTACGATGAGTACTGGTAATAATGAGGATTCAAAACCGAGTGTGGAAGTGCCATAGTTTTAAATGTTGTAGGTGATTCTTTCGAACAATTCCTCAGTGCCAAGTGTGGCCAGGGAGATGATAGTTGTTAAGATTTTTGAATATAGTTTAAAAATAAAGTGTGAAATTCGTTCATAAGGATATTTCAGATGTTGCAAAGATTGGATGTATATTGCAGGCCTTACCAAGAATATGTAGCTTTCAAATTTTTGGTACCAGCATAAAAAAAAAAAGTTTTTAAATGTTAATCTGGCTTTACCACAGACCAACACATTTAGGTCTCATTTACTAATGTTCAGGTGATCCTAGTAATCGGTAGTGATGATAGTAATGTGAACAAGACACCAAATTATCTTAAACTCCCCTCCATCAGTAATTCGAACTAGTATAAATAGACTATTGTACATTATCTTCCTTAAAAGGTTGTTTATAACTGTGTGGTAATACATCATTCTAATCCCCACTTGCCTAAATTTTGATAGGGCCTCTGTGCAACACACTACTAATCCAGGCAGATTTTTAACCACATCTTGGTATTTCTGATTATTAAATTCCATGGCTTCTTACTATCAAAATAAGTGAAAGGCATTTCTATTCAAAGTGTACTAGTAAATTCTAGAGAATAATTCTGATTTCTATAAATATGCATTTTTATCACTGAATTTAAAAATATTGATCAGTTGGTGTCATTTTAATATTTCAGTTAACAAAATCATTTTTGAGGGAGTTGTTTTTCCTGCCACTTTCTCATCACTTAGATCCCTGCCCCAGCCATGCTATGGTTCCAAGATTTTAATATACTTGTTACAGTTTGAACTTTTAATAAAGTTTATGGGCATTTGTATGTAAAGTATTTTATAGTCTTTAAAGAAACAACAGTCCATTTCTTGCCAGTGTCCTCTTGTCTTTAAAAATTATCTTTCATGGTTGGGGAAATGTTTGGTAACCTTTTTACTATGCTTCTTTGCAAAGCTTTGTTTTTAACAGAATAATATTCTATGCTACAAGTTATCACAGTTTTTAAAAGGAAATTGTTCACTTGCTAGTGTCTTATTATCTGTATTGTTTTTTCATTAAACAGAGTTGATCAAGAGCTTAATGGAAAACAGGATGAACCGAAAAGTGAACAGTAAGTTTGGCATCTAGTCCAGACAAGACTGAAGAATGTGCTGATGAAGCAGTGCTCTCTTTTTGCATTTATAATGCATTTATTGGCCCTGATTTTTATGTAACCTGTTACAAAATTGACTTGATTCTTCCTTAATGGACTTTTGTATAAGGGACTGTTCACTGCTGTATTGGTTTGCAAATCTCTTGAATTTAGCTCTTTATTAGCTAATTATATTGTACTCATTTTATATTTTATATTGGTAAATAGCAGAGATCCACACTTTATATAAAGCAGTTTTTGCATTTGTTTGTTGAATGATACATCTTCTTCAGTAAAGTATTTATATGCCTAAATGGTAAAGGAAAGAGATAATATATATTTTTATGTTTCTGAGCAATATTTTTTAATGTATACCTGTTTCATGGAAGAATATGCAGGTAAATGAAAAAAAAAAAAAAAAAAAAAAAAAAAAAAAAAAAAGAATATGCAGGTAAATGAGACCATGATTTGTAAAATACACGTTTGAATTTTTGTTTCTTGTAGATGATTAGACACATTTTCTGGGTAACTTACAAAATAGAGTTGCTTATAAGATGAGGGACAGTTAAACTGGTTCTCATGAATACCCAAAGGTCATGTTCATAATCTAAGTAGATTAATACTATCCTTTTTTCTCATTTAATAAATGCCGTTTAATTCAGAAGCGCAAATACAAATGCATTGCAGACCTTTTCCTTTTTAAACTTTAATGACCAGTCAGAAAGCCATTTTTAGAACTAAACTTCAGAGGCTAAGAATTGGGATTTGTATATATGTATATATGAGACGTTTTATCTTCTGGCCAAAAGTCAGAACTTTATTATAAAAAGTTTAGGGTTGTTCACTAATGTGAAATAAGCTGTGTGTCCAGGGTTTCACGCTCCAGAAATTGTGGGTGCAGTGTAGTATTCAGAGAATGCGATGCGTTCTTCACTGTCACTATTTTTCTGTAGAAAATAGGGGCTGCTTTTTTAACTGCTCTCAGTGTGGGCACTTTACCAAAATACTTTATCAGTTATTTAAACTTGATAGTAAGTTAGTGTTTGACCTAGTCAGATACCATGTGTGTTCACATTTTCTTTTGAATCATGTTGACAGTACTGTAAAACTAAGTTATTTTGTAAGTCTTAGAGTATCACTGCATTATGCTGTTTCGGATGACACATTTAATGTAAGTGTATAAACTTTTGTTTAATTTGGTAAGTATCTTGACTCTCTATATTAAAATATACTGTACTTAGGTGCCCAGACAGAACTTAATTGCCCACAAAATCATCCTAAAACAACAGATTGGTCTTATATTGTGTCATGTACTTGTGTGACTCATTTGGAAGACTTGGTATCCTCCAAATCTGAGGGTATTGCCACACTCTGGGCCTTCCTATGAGGCAGTTCACCAAAGAGTGTCCTAGAGTAGCAAAATTGAAGCAGAGGAGAGCTAAGCTTTTAGGCTTCCTAAACTAATGTCATTATGGCAAATAAAGCCAAAACCATTATTGCTTGCTCAATCCTTAGGAACAGTTTGTGTTGAAAAAGCAAACTAACAGTAACAACTTAGGCATTCCTTCTGGATCTACCATATGAGAATTATGAATGTACGATCATTGAACTTAATTGTGATTGGAGTCTATATTTGTAGAGCTCTTTAAGTAGTCTTTCATCTATAAAAGTCTTTATCCTGCTCACAGTTTGCTGAGCTTTTTAAATAGGTGGTTTTCCTCCACATTAAGTACAGAGCTTTTCAGTTTCAACAGTTTATTGTGTTCATTCACTTTTGGTTTTGTAAGCATTTTCCTCACTACAGGTACAGCTTGTTGCAAAAGTGGTGTATTTTCTTAAATACTTTTCTAAAGTACAACTAGCTCATCATCTGTTAGAACATTAAAATTCAGAGGGAACAGTGTTAACACTTGGGATATAACAAAAGGGATGTGCTGTGAATCGCTGGATTAAAACATACCTGTTCTAACCTACAGCTTAATGGAGTCTGGTATAGAGATGTGCCCCATGATAAATGTTTCATAACCCTAAGGCTTAAGATCATAACTAGTACGTTAGAGAAAATGCATTTACTCAGTTTGTTATTAGTACTTTGTTATTGTGTGACATTTCCCCCATATCATTCAATTTTTATTTTCCATTACCGATTAAAGCGAAAGTAATATAATTGTATTACTTCCTCTTTCTCCTGGAGTCATGGATCTAACTTAACTGGTTTAATTTTGTTTTTGTCACTCTATTTTGTTGTACTTGGCCTCTGAGGGCCTCTTAGTCCAAAGTTTCTCATATAAAGTCATTTGGTTGTGTTCTGCTTAGTCGTATTCATAAGTAGCACCAAGGAAAGACGCTTTATTGGCCTCACAGTTTAAGCTTAATAACCTTTAACTTGGGTGGGAGCCTGGAGGGGCTATGATTCTAAGTAAGATCTAGCAGGATAGTTTGAAAGGAAGATAACAAAACCAGGAAGTAAGAGAAAGGAAACTATAAAGGGATTCTCTCAGATGTCACTGGATGGAAGGGCAGTGCTGCAAGGGCAGCTCTTGGCACCGTGCAGAGGGCTTTCTTGTATTCAGCAGGGAAGCCTGCAGGCCTCACACAGCATTATGTGAGAAAGCAGACTGGAATGAAGGAGCAAAGACTGAGAAAACCCATAATGAGAATTTGTATTCTCCTCTGCTTTGTCTCTTCATACAGAGGCAGATTTGAACAGAGGGTCGGCAATGACAGTGCTCAGATTAAAGTTTAGGACTAGGTTATTTTTTATATTTTATAAGGTTGGTAAACAATGTCTTCCAAAGCGGACATCACTATTTAGTAACTGCAGTGAGTACTGAAATTTGCTGATTGATGAGCACATATAAGTATCTAGAATTTCTTCAACTGTAATTTCAGAATTTAAAAAGGTAAGGGATCTGCTTTATGATAGAGACTTCTTGTAGATGACTGTATCACTATTATTTGGCTGTTTTTTGTGAGCTCAGGGAATTTGGAAGTGTTTGATTTAGTGCAGAAGTGGCTTTTTTAGGTTTCTTCAGTTGACAGGTAAATTAGCATTAGGGTACTATCGGGTAGAACAGGCCAGTTTCCTGGTAGAGGTATATATAAAGTGACAGTAGCTTTGTCCTCCTTTTTCCTGTGTTGTATATGGAAAATTACTAACATTGCTCCTTCAGAAGGGAGAAGATAGGCTGGAAATCGAAATTTGCTAATCCATTCCATCTTGTTTTCATGCTTATTTTTTTCCCCCATCCTATTTAGCTTATTTGAGAACTGGGTCACAAACCTCAAAAGAAAGGAATAGAGGAGTTAAATGTGCTTATTAATTAGACCAACTATTCTGTTAGAGTTTATCTTGTCACAGGGACCAGGGATTGTCAGATGAGTTGGGTTCCTGGGAGAAAGCATTACTAATTTCACTCATGTGAGAAGATCAGCTGGCAAGGGCAGTGGAGACGGACTCTGCGGTATTCTAATAGTGCTGAAGAATTACCTAGGGAGCCTTTCACTTGCCCCTTCCCTATCCCAAGATTCTGAATGAATTAGAATCAGATCAGTGGTGAGTCCCAGTAAAGTAACTTTCCTGTAAATTTTTAAATGATACTTGAAAATAAGATAATGTGTTAAACATGAGTGACTCTAAAATTTGAACAGAACTGTTACTTTGTTTCAACTATCCATGCTAGATCTACTTAATTTCTTCTGTTTTGAGGATAACGTTCACATAAAGCACTTAAACACCTCATGAAAATCAAAGGTTTAATGTTTTCAGATTGATATAGAATCATATTAAACTGCTTCAGATAGTGGAGTCTATCTTATATGACCTTCTATAGGAGGTTAAAACATTTACATTTTGAAATCTGTGTTTTCACAATCAGTGTGGCTAAGGAGGAACTTGGAAAATCATACTAATTTGCTGCTCCACTGCACTTTTTATATACAGACTTTCTAAAGTTATGCCCCTTGAACTGTTCATTTACATAAACCTAACTAGTACATATTGGAGGTGTTCTGGGCTGCTGTCTTGCACAGCTGGTTGGACACTGTTCACATAGAACACAATTTAGAGTTAGACACTAACACACTTTGATACAAATTCCAAAAATTTGAATATTTTTCTTAATGTAAGGTCACGTGTTGCCATGTAGACACAGTGTGATGTGATCATTTCACTATTCAAAATATGCTGCCTAGGCTGGTGCTGTCGTTTTACAGTGTGAGAAACTTAGTTCTGATGACTGTGTGCAAGATGTTGATGTGATCCCTGTAAGAAATAAAAGAGTTGGTCTTGATTTACTAAGGAGATGTAATATTTTATTTTCCTCTGACTTGTTAGGAATACAAGAGCTTGTGTCCTGATTTGTTGCACATCATACTTTTGCAACATTCATGAGTTTAAATAAATTAATTGGAAAGTTTGTTTTTGACTCATTTTTTTCATATATTTTGTCTCCCATTATGTTACTAAATTTTTACACTGAGTTATCTTGTAAGCCTTTCAATCGTTTTAGGCCTTTTGTTTCTTTCTGTAGCCTGGGCGCTACTTTCTGTTCTTCAAAGGGGTGAAGTGTTTATCCTGCTTTAACTTTAAACATAGTCTACACTATCAAATTTTGTGTCTCACAGTTTAGAATGGGCGTAGTGGGGAATCCAGCAGTAACATCAGGTCAGTAAGTGGCTGAAAACATAGCTTAAATGAGAATGTTTAGCTAACAAAATTGTTTAGAGGTTCCACTTGATAGCACTTGTTTATGTATTTACTCCTCAATCACTGTTCAGCTACTTAATGGCAAACAGCTGTACACATACTGCTGCCTATAGTCCACTTAGGATGCCATTTGGGTTTATGTAAACTCTATATATTGAAATATTTGTCTTGCATTAGGTACAAATTTTAAATACAAATTCTCCCACATTAAAATTCTTCAGAATTCACAAGAACTTGCTGGGCTAAATGAATTGCAGCCCTATTTTGAGTCATAAACTAATACCTGCTCTAATGTTTTCAGAATTGGTCAATTTAGCATTGCAGGATCTACAGAAGTATTACCCTGAACCCACTTCGGGCATAAAATGTGACTGCCCTAACATTCCTAATTGCGTGTTTAACAGTGGATAAGATTATTATGAGCGATTTGGTAAACCTGGTGAGTTAACTCAAAAGGAAGCTGGTCCACGGGTCACGGGCTTGAAAGCGGCCGGCCCCACGCCCCTCCCTCCATGCCACACCCTCCGGTGGCGAGGCTTGGAGTGGCGTGTGGGAGGAGGAGCTGGGCGGGGCCTCCTGGCCCGCTGGCGTGCTGTCACTTCCAGGTTCGGCGAGCACTTCCGGGTCGTCCACCCCGCTCTGCGGATTCTGCGGCGGCCGAAGAGGTGGTCGGGAAGTAGGTGCTTCCTGCTGGGCCGCTGGCTGCTCCGCTTCTGTCCGCTCCGCGGCGGGAAGCGCCTTCCTCACAGGTACTGGGTGAGCCGCCCCCTCGCTACCTGGCGTCCTCCAGAGGAGGGGTTGCGGTCGGTTGGGACTCCTAGGGCTGCGTGCAGTGCGGGGCCCGGGGTGGGCCCGTTACTGACTTCGCTGCCGGGATGGCCAGGCGACCGGTACCCGCGAAGGAAAAGTGCGGGAGTCGGCGGGAGGAGGTTGCGCCCTGCGGCGGGAGGTTTGTGGTCCACAGGGCGCCAGCTGAACGGTCCTGGGGGAGGTCTTCAGCCCGGCACCTTATTTTTAGCCAGGTGAATGTCTTTATGCATCCAGAGTCGGGTTTTTGTTTTGTTTTGTTCTGTTCTGTTTCGTTTCTGCCGAGTATCAGAGGAGCGCTTTCCCTAAGTGTCTCATTCCTGTGATGCTTCGCTTATTTGAAATTTGCCTTAAACTTCAAGCCGGCTCCTACAGGGTGACGACTTTAAACTGGTTGCTTTGATCAAGGACTGAGACTACTGAGTTACTGCCCAATGGGGAGCCCTTCTAATTAATTTTCTAAACTGCAAAATGAGGTAGCACGAAAGTGGTATGAGGGATTCCAGCTGTAACAGATTTGAACATTTCACGAGGGATTTTTAAGCATCTAAGATAATTAAAGCAAGTAACTAACAAAGGTTTAAATAACTTAGGGCTGTTTTTTTTTTTTTAATTAGTATCTATTGAGGTAGAATTGCCACATAACATTAGTTTCATGGTAATTAGTGCTTTCGATTCCTTCAGACAAACCAGAAGCTCAGTTCCTGGATCATTTGGCAGTTCTACTTTTAATCTTCTGCAGAACTTCCATATTGTTTTCCACAGTGGCTGCAGCAGTTTGCATCCACAAACAGTGCGCAGGGATCCCGTTTTCTCTACGTTCTCGCCAACACTTGTTTCTTGTCTCCTTGAGAATAGCCATTCTAACATGTGTGAGGTGGTAGTTCATGGTGGTTCTTTGCATTAGCCTGATGATTAGTGGTGTTGAGAATCTCTTCATATGTCTGTTGGTGACCTGTAGGGGTTATTTGGGAAAATATCTGTTCAGGTCCTTTGCCCATTTTTTAATCTAGTTGTTTGTTTGCTGTTGAGTTGTATAAATTCTTTATATGTTTTGGATGTTTGCTTCTTATCAGATAAGCTGATTTGCAAATAGTTTCTCCCATTCAGTATGCTGTTTTAAGGGTTTTTTTTAACGTATAGATTTATATATTATCACTTTGGAACTCCTTATTTGGGTGTATGCATTGTGCTCAACATTCCAGTTCACTTGTCCTCTCACTTTAAATTGTAACTCTTTTGTGTTTAGCATATATGTAAACATGTAAAAGTCAGTATTTTGAATGATACAAACTTTCTGTGTCTGTTTTCCATCGACTCCCTCTTTACCATATCCCACCTCCTCAGCCACCAATCTGTTCTCTGAATCTGTGTGCTTGGGTTTTTTCCCTTTTTGGTTTTTTTTTTTTAATGTTTTATTTATTTCTGAGAGAGAGAGAGAGCTTGAGCAGGGGAGGGTTAGAGAGAGAGAGAGAGAGATACAGAATCCGAAGCAAGCTCCAGGCTCTGAGCTAGCTGTCGGCACAGAGCCCCACGCAGGGCTCGAACCCATGAACCGTGTGATCATAACATAAGCCGAAGTCGGGCCTTAACTGGCGCCCCATCCCTTTTTGGTTTTAGATTCCACATGTATCCAATATCCTACGATATTTGCCTTTCTCTGTCTCAGTTCACTTAATGATAATGCCCATGATGGCTCAGTCAGTTGAGCACCCGACTTGATTTCTGCTCAGGTCATGATCTCATGGTTTGTGGGATAGCGTCCCATGTCAAGCTCTGTACTAACAACGCAGAGCCTGCTTGGGATTCATTCTCTCTCTCTCTCTCCCCCCCCCCCCCCTCCATACCTGCCCCTCCCCCACTCTCTCTAGCTCTCAAAATAAATAAATAAATAAACTTAAAATGGTAATGCCCTTGAGGTCTATCCCTGTTGTTGTAAATGGCAAGATTTCATTCTTTTTGTAGCTAAATAATATTCTGTTGTAATATATTCACCACAATGTCTTTATCCATTCATCCATTGATGGACACCTAGGTTGCTCTGATAACTTGGCTATTATAAATAATGTTGCACTGAATATGGAGTCCATATATCTTTTCCAGTTAGTGTTT